GTAAGCCCCAACAATCGGTGACAATAATAAGAAAATACCCAGGGCACACCTTCATCTCTGAAGGTGAGAAAAAAATGCTGAGAAATCGGCTTGGGGTTCACAGAGTGCTGCGGAGAGCGGGCAGTTTAAAGGGGAAGAAAATTGGTGAATTTCACTGGTCAATTTCACTTCATTTCGTTCAATTTCGTTCAATTTCATTCCTTTTCATCCGGCGCCGGGAGGCCCCAGGCCACAAGGAGGGGGAGGGCGGGTCTTTTCCGGGCAGAATTTCCCCCCGTCTTGCAGATTTACTTTCTGTGGCTGAGGAACAGCCTCGATTCTCCAACTTTGATATTCTTTCAGCTACGGCTCAGGGCAGTTATTTTATTTTATTGAAGGATATTTGGTTTGGGTGATCGAGGCACACCGGTGAGCTTCTCCCCACTTCTCTCTTGCAGCCCAATTAAAGCGGTTCATTCTTTTCTCGGCCGATTCTTCCCCATCTCCCTTTCTCCAGGGCACCCCGGACCACCCAGGAGCGGGAGTTGAGGTGGGGGCGGACACTTCCCCTCCACATCCAATTTGTTCTCGCCACAGCAGGCGCGTCTTCGTGGTTACAAAGCGCTTTCCCCCTGATGACTTTTTTTCCCCTTTTCAAAAACACTTCACTCTCTCCCGTTCAACGAGCAACCCTCCCCAGGCCCACCCCTCCTCCCTCTCCTCTCGGGTTTATTTAAACTTCGCCTCCTCCAGCGCCGCCGCAGCGCGCACTTAATGAAGTTGAAGGCTCGGTGAGCCCGGGTGAAGAGGGTTTGGAATCTGTTGAAAGGGGCGTTTTGTGACACTGATTGCGGCGGGGGTGGGAGCGGTCGCGGACCAGACAATGACCGATGGGTCCGGTTTTCCTCCGCATCGGGTCAGGCGAATAAAGGCGCCGACGCTGTTTAAACGAGGGACCTTGCGGAGAGAAAGGGAGAAAAGGTTTCGAGTGTGGAGCGTGCCTCATCGGATTTCGAGTTTGGGGGGCGATGGGAGGAGGGAGCTAGCGTAGGGTCTTTACGGACCCGACTGGGAATTTATTTCAAACCTCGCGCATCCTGCCAAAGAGAAGCGAGCAGAGCTTGGGTTTGCGCCTGAATGATTCGGATACATTGTTTCAAAGGGTGGTGTGCTGGGACCTGGAGATGCGTCCAGGAGGACCATCCAAAAGGATGAGACCCAGCTCACGTGTGCCCTGGGGGCTGGCGCTCTGAGGT